AGGTTCTCCTCTTGTCCTCCCTTCCCCCCCCCCCCCTCCCCTTCCTCTCCTGCCACATTGCTGTTAAGGCCTGGGATTCTCTGGCCATGAGAGGGGCCTTTCTTTATTTGGGTGACCACCCATGAGAGGGCCTTAACCGTGGACCATCTTCAAAGAAGGGGCCTACAACTACCCAACAGGTGCATCATGTGTAAGAAAGAAACTGAAACCAATGCTCATCTCTTTCTACATTGTGAGATAATGTCTTTCCTCTGGAACTTTATCCTCCAACGTTTTGGCTGGGTTTGGGTCACCTCTCAGGCTGTTCCACAACTCTTCTCTTCTTACCTTTCACCCCCATGGGCTAGATCAGGTATTATTCTTTGGAACGCTTCTGTGGCAGCCTTACTCTGGACTCTGTGGTTGGAAAGAAACCAGAGAATCTTTAGGGGAGAATTTTCTAATCTTGTCACGCTGATGGAAAAGGTAAGATCTTTAGTCATCTTTTGGGCAACCAACTCTAAACCTTTGAAGTGCTTCTAAATGGCGGGCTTCCACCAAAATTGGAAGCTTATGCTTCAGTTAAGGCCTACCCTAGTTCCTAGGCCAGTCTCTTCGTTACCTTCCTCTCCAAGATGCATTAAGCTTAATTTCGATGATTGCTCCCTGGGCAATCCTGGACCATCGGATGTAGGTGGCATCTATCGCGACCATGCTGATCGCACCCTCCTCTCCTTTGAGCAGTCCATCAGTAGCTCAAACTCCACCAAGGCGGAGGCAATGGACCTCCTTCATGGCCGTCGACACTTCAACAGGGACTAGGGAAACTCTCTAGGGATCGAAGGAGATTCTGCCAATGTTATCGATTGGGTTTCTACCCCAGCCCAGTGCCCTTGGAGGCTAGAATCCGTGTTTGACAAAATCCAACATAGGTGCTTCCTCTTGCAAATCACTTGGAGGCATACGTGGAGATAGGCCAACTCCATCGCTGACTCTCTAACCAAATCGGGAAGCCTGGGCTCAAATTCTATGGACTGTCCAACATAGATCACCTAGTTTGGTTTTGATCCTATTATAGCTTTGTACTTCTGCTGCCCTGTTTTGGGCTCTATTTCTGTTGCCTTGTAAAGGGTATTACTGTCCTTCACCACTCCTTCTGGGAGGGCAACCTTTGTATTTTCTTTTTACCTCAATACAAGTAAACATTCTCAAAAAAAACATTCAGCAAAAGGGAACCCTCGAAAGAACCAGTTTATCGTGTGTAGAAAGAGTGTGGAGGCTACATTTGTTTCTACACTGCCTTTTTGCCAGGCAAAGAGTGGCGTTCGCCACCTCTGGTGGCACTCTGTCGCCGTCCGGCAAGTACGGTAGGGGTCAGGGGGAGGGGTCGTGACACAAGGTGTGGTCACTCATACTCAACGTGCTCGACTTGCATTGGATGACATCTGAATTGTTGCAACAAACTGTTTGCAGTCTAATTCTTGATTGCACTCCTTGCTATGGGCCTCTTCCTTTGGCATCATCCACTGTTATTTCCTTGTGGAACATTTCGTTGGAATGCTATAGGAGGTTTTTTCAAAGTAGAAATCACATAATAGCACCATTGAGGATAAGAGAAGAGCTCTAGTCATTGTTTGGGCTCCTCAGCACAAAGAGCTAACACATTTTCCTTTAACTGATTTTGTACTTAACTGGAAAGCTATCATTCATACCATCCTCATTACAACATCGCACTCCTTCCTATGGTCATCTTTGGGAGCCAGGACCATCAAACTAAATTTTTTATGGTTGGTCCCTCAGCAACTCAGGACCAGCAAGAATCTAACAACTCCTTGCTCTCCTTCTCAGGCCCCATCGGGATCGCCTCTTCCACAATTGCAGAGGAAAAGGCCCTTCTAGAATGGCTCAAACTTGTTGATACAAAGTTTGGGACCCTCACTAGTTTCCAAGAATATTATTAACTGGGTTAAAAGGCTATGGGAATATCCATAGAACATGGATCAAATATTTGACCAAATAGCCAATATTTGCAGTGCATTTCAGGTCTCTCCCAGGGATACTTGGAGAGAATCTAATGAAATGGTTGATTCTCTAGCAAACATGAGGCTTTTTACTTTTTGTTTCAGTACAACCAAACAAAATTTGTACAACACAGTATATTTGCCAATATTTTGCATGCTGTGAAATTAGAACTATATAAATCCATATTAGCAATATATAAATAAAGACAACCTTATCAAAGAAATTTCTTAAGCTTAACAACAAAGAACTAGCAGGAACAAATCGTAGGAATGTTTTAAGAAATACAAAATAATGGTAAGTCACGTTCCAATTTTGTTTTAAATTTTATTGGAGGCTTTAGAGCAAAGTAGGTGTCAAACAAGTGTCAAAGGACTCTGGTAGTTCAGCCTAAAATGATGATACGTCAAGAAAACATCTGTAGAATTATTGTTTGTTAGTAAAATATGATATTTGTTCCTATATACGATATGATTTCTTAAACTTTTATACATATCACAGGCTGAGGACGAAGTTAAAGCATACAAATATGGTGC